ATGATTTTGGTAAATGTGAGCTACGAAAGGTCAAACAAGGTTACTGACCGTAAATCAGCACCGGCGGCCTTTTGCTTAGAACAGGTTTCTGGGTTCTGGAGCACTTAAGACATCATTCTGAAGTATAACCATGTTCGACCTTATTGGACCCAATCGTCGTGACCTAATGACCTCAAATGACGACACATGTGAGCACACATACATGCCAGCACACTCAGTGGATTTGGTATCTCTAGCATTCTTAGTTTCTGAGATCTCAGGGAAGTCAAATTGACCCCCACCCGAGCGAAGGGTTTAACTGGCCACCCGGACGTGTGTTAAATAATAGCAAATGAACCTGGCCTGAGCAGGACGCCCACAATTCAGATAATTACAATATTGCAACTTACGAAAAATGCACTAATGATGGCAAATGATGACAACACTCGTATGAATATTTCGTCAATCTCCCGGGCTGGCGCCCGAAAGGACCGTCTAAGAATCCCGTCAAGAAGTATACAGGTCTTCGCCAGGTTCTCACTACATCCAGGAGCATGCACGAAGCCTTTTAGCGCGTTTTTAATCACGATCCAATGTTCTCGGAAACCGCTCGCCGAGATAAATGAAGGGGTGAAGGGTTCGGGACACCCTGACACAAAGTGTTATGGTCCTCGATTTGAGTCTGAAATGCGCTACGAGCTAATTCCATGAGATAGCTTCCAAAAAGTATCACAACGTGTTCTGAGTTTACTGAAGATGTTGGAGCTCAAAACTCCAGACGATGCCGGGGTGGTCATCAGTGACTTATAGTGACCTCTTGACCTCGTTCGCTACCGGCTGGCGGCCATACAATCAGGAACCCAGATTTGAGGACGACCCAGTCGTGTCGGCGTTGCCATCGGCATCCGCCATCTTTTCCTCGGGCCCACGTTATGCTGCATCGAGCCACGCTTCGTCTCACCGGGGGGCATGCTGCGGTCATCAGCCAGGAGTCGATCACATAGCCGCCCGGGCTTGGAGATCTGTCCGAGTGCCCGCTTAACCTGGCTTGGGTCTCCTGCACCAGCTAAACCTCGTTGTCTGAGATAACCGAGGATGGCCCCAGCAATGTCCTACTACCCCTACTACCCCTCTTAGTTGCTCCCAGAAATCGAAAATTGTCATAGCTGACAGGAAAAGTGTCAACTTATTGAGCAAAAACAAAACTGTGTCACGGGACCTACTTGCTCGCTCTTACCGTACCATCCCACATAAGGCCATCTCCATCCCATCCCTACATTCCCGACTTAAAGATGGCTTAAGCATGGAAATCCGCCGTAACGATCTTCATCAATATTCTGTTCTCGTCACCATGTTGAAAGTCTGGGGAGTTTACATCGAACCTTTCCAGCAGCAGTGCTTTCTGGTTACATAAATCGCACATCGTAAAAGGTATGCGGACAGCGTACCGCGGACTGGCGCCAAGGCCCACGAGGTAATAGTGATGATTGCCCAATTGATCACGCTGTCATGCGCTGTGCCAGATACTGCATATTGGGATATGGTGCAAGCCGGGAATGTCTGTGTTGTTAAAGGCCAAATAACTAACAACTAGAGCATCGCGGAATGGCGTAACGCATACCGCATCAGGAAATGTTTTTTGTAGCTACATGTTATGGTGCCATGACGAGACTGTGCCATTGTCGGGCAGACATAAATTGTTAGACATTTGCGATATTGGACCAGGCCTAGAAAATAACCCAATCTTTTTCTGCTGGAGCGAGGCGACGCTGCCTCTTGCCGTCGACATATATATATATATATATATATATATATATATATATATATATATATATATATATCTCTCTCTCTCTCTCTCTCTCTCTCTCTCTCTCTCTCTCTCTCTCGCTCTCTCCCTTTCTCTCTTTCCCTCTCTCTCTTACACTCTCTCTTGCTTTCTTCCTTTTCTTTCTCTTGCTCTTCCTCCCTCTACATCATATACGAATCAACACATCGTTTTGCTTTTTCCTTAGGCCTTCGGAATAATGCGGGGTGCATAGCATGTCGGGTGAAGCTAAGCGACATTTTGCCTTGATAGGCGTCTTACCCCCTGTTTGGCCTAGTTGAAGGCTATTGGGGAGACATCCCTGCCGTGACGTCACCCGGTGGGGTCACACCCGCCCTAGCCGCGCCCTTCCGACCCGTCCTCTGCCGGGACTGTGATGTTCCGGCGCCCCGCCACACCGTGCCGTGCTCTGCGCCCGGTCGGGGTCAATCCGGCTGGTCCTATCTCAGCTGGTCCCGGCCTTCTCGAACATAATGGAGGGGCGAGAAGGGCACCTACTCTGTCAGCTGACACTGACCGTTCGGGCCTGATGGCAGAGTGGCTAGCGCGCCACACTCCCACATGGAGGCTCGGGTTCGAATTCTGGCAAGCATCATGGCCCCTGAACGCTTACGTGTCACTGGCCGGCCTTAAAGGTGCCGTGGCGACAACGTCACATTCCATTCTTTAACAAAGACGGACTGAATGTACCCACCGTGTCCTATTTATTATCAGCTGTGTTTTTTTCTGGTCAGTGCGCACCAAAATGGTGTGGAAAAATTCGAATGGACGCCGAGGATAAGGCTAATGCAACAACAGATCTTAATGCTCACCAAAATAAAATGATTTTCGACACGTGCCTTTCACAAGGCATTCTGCTGAGCGGATATGCACTGTTTTCGTGTAATTGCATCATGTGCGTGCGCCATCATTCTTTTGGTGTCGTAATTATTTGCCATTAGCTGGCTACGGCACAGAAATGCATCAGCACGCCTGTTATAACGCACGCCCTCTGCCAGCTGCCACCACCCCGCCGATGGTGCGTGCAGCACTCCCCTCCCCTCTCCCGTCCCACTCCCCTTCCACCTTCCCGCAAACCGGGGTCGTGGTTCGCAGCGGTATGGAACAGGCTGCGAAGGGTTTTTGCGTTGCGTGGGTTGTTGACAACACGGAGGCAGCGTTCAGTGAAATACGCACTACGCAACGGTGCCATAATTGAACATATCACCTCCATTTTGAGTGAGGGAAAGATGGCTGGAAAAACCCAGACCATTTGACACATACATTTGATCTTCCCTACCATTTGTTTGTCACGTGTCGTTGGCCCGAGATGTGATGGTGTGCTGCCAACACAAGTGTCTTCGGGCGGGATGTGTGCTCGACAGTCGACCGACCACCTGGCTACAGTGGTCGGCAGTTCACAGCAGGTCATGGGCTGTGCTCGACGTAGGCTGATTGGTGATGTGAAGGCAACGATTAAATGATGCATGAGCACCACCTTGTGTTTTGAGAGAGCCGTTTTCGGCCTTTATCCATTGAAAATAAAGTTTTCTGACTTTCGTTTGCCCATCACTTTGATCTCAATGAAGCATTTCCAAGGTTTGAACCCTTTTTGCGAAAACAAAATGATTGCTCTTGCATTGTTTTCAGTCTCTTAGCACCCCTCGATTCTGTTTTCTTGCATCAGCCCTTGCTACTTCTATAGCCTTGGTTTTCTCAGGGTTCATTCACAGTTTTACAGCAAAGAACCAGACATCTATACGGATCGCATCGAGAACGGCTACGGTTCGGGATAAGTAGTGTCATGGTTTCCATTCATCTACAAAATGCACGTCCAAGTCGGAATAAATTTTTGACATTTCTGATCTGCACAGGCGAGTAAAATTTGCGTCATGTTTGTTACACGGAAAAATGATAACCTTTTTAACAAAAAACGACAAACAATACAGCACACAACGCACCGAGAATTACAGTCTAAAATATGTCGTTTACTACGTTGTACGATGGTACCATAGCACGCAGCCATCGACCCTGCGTGCTACGCTATCATCGTCATCTTGTTGACATGTTATATGATGAATTGTTGGACGTTCTATACGATAAGGTGTTGGACGTAAACTCATATTTGAACATGACCCCATTTCCAAACATTCTTCATGGCAGCGACAAACAGGTTGTGTATACGACGACAGTGGAATGTTCTAAACAAGATTCTAAATGCAGTCCATTCCTGCGAGGCTGTGTCAGTTTCACAGCGATCTTATAAGTAGTGCATCACTTTGTTAAGTGCCTATAGTCAACAAAAGCTCTACATGTCCTCAATGGATAAACAAGTTTGGTGAAAGCTTGATTTTTACAAAGAAAATGCTAGTTATTCTGGTAAGTCAACGAACATTGGTTGCAACAGTAAAGCAGCGAATACGGCATTTCAGTAGGACAACCACGGGACATCGTTCACTGTCATGGAAACAGAGGTTTTCTTTTGATACGGCATCATCCTCCTAGCACTCGAAACCTTATAAACGCGAACGGACACCACCGCACTCCCACTCCACACGGCCACCGCTTCGGCCCACGACAACAGTTAACGATGATGACAAAACTTGAGCAGCGCTCAAGTGTTTACCACGCTGCGCTAAGCGAGCGTTGCGCGGCGTCCAAATGTTTGTTGTGTGTCAGCTGCAGTCCGGGCAAGTTTCGAACCATCCGCACACCGTCCGCAAGAGCGCGCCAGCCGCACGCCACACGGCCTGAAGCCGCGCCGCGGCCGGGCTCAGACCACAAAGCCACCGACCACCACGCCGCCGTCAACTCCGTTGTCTCGCCTGAAGCTCACCTCACTGATTGTTTTCTTCAGTATGCCGGGTCGAATCACCTCTGCGGGCAGCGGACTAGCCAGGCCGGCGTCCTGCGGGCGCAGAGGCCTCAGCTCCAGCGCCGCGCCGCCCCGGTACTCCAGCTCTGGCCGGCAGCCCACGTGGTTGGGCGTGCCGTGCACCCCGTGTCCGCCGTCACCGTGGCAGCCGACATGGTTGGGCGTGCCGTGGGCGCCATGGCTTGCGTCGCCGTGGCAGCCGACGTGGTTGGCGGCGAGGCTAGGCTCGGCCCGGGCGCCACCCAGGTCAGGGCGCTGCAGCTGACCCAGCTCGGGCCGGCCGTCCCGCCAGCAGCGGCAGCGGCCGGCCGGCGGGGGCAGCGCGGCCGGCGCCCCCCGGCGTCAGCTGGCCAGCTCGTCACCGTCGCGCTCGTCAGCCTCGTCAGGCAGCAGGTCGAGCAGGCGCGCCAGGCAGCCGGCTAGCGCCACCAGCTGCTCCTGCAGCAGGCTGCAGCAGACGGCGATCAGCGCCATGCCCAGCAGCAGATACAGCGCCGCCGCCAGCTGCGACGAGCCGGGCGTCAGCTCGCCGAACCCGATCGTGCTTAGGCTAACGAAGCAAAAGAAGGCGCCGTCCATGTAGCTCCAGTCTTCCCACAGCGTCAGCAGGTAGCCACCGGCCAGGATGTAGCCCACGATGGCGACCAGGCAAAAGCAGAAGGGCAGCAGAGGCGCGCGGGGCTCTGCCGGCGTTAGCAGCGGACCAGCCTCGTCCCAGGGCGGGCCCGGCCAGGGCGGCTCCGAGCCCCGCTTCAGCTCGCCGTCCACGTGGTTGAGCGCCGTCTGTGGCGTGTCCGGTCGGTGGAGGTGGCCGCTGGAGGCCGGCGGACTCTCGGTGGGCCGCCCCGCACAGATGCATCGCCCGCCGAACGCCATCTTGAAGCAGCGCGCCATTATGTCTCCTGAGGTTGGAGAAACGGGGTTATCCGCACGACGGACGGCGAGGCCAGGCCGCCCCGGCAGAAGCTTTGCGCGGCAGAAGTTCAGCAACAGAAGAGAGCAGGAGACCTGACATCAACTGTCATACGTTACCTCCATCCATAGTCCGTCTCATCACAGAAACTATCACCTTGCACGCATTTTCGATTCTAGAACCATATACCCTAGCAGTTTTATTCATTCGTGTTTGTTTGCAGTTCGACATGCCGCTCACCAATTTATCCGCATACCCGATGCTCGATGCAGTTCACGCTTCTCCTGATACCCTGCATTGACAGGTGGCGGAAGTTTAGCACACATATTCTAATAAACTATGGTCGAAAGACGGACAGCCGCTTGCTCACATGCAGCCTACACATCACTGGTCAGCCGCTTGCTCACATGCAGCCAACACATCACTGGTCAGCCGCTTGCTCACATGCAGCCTACACATCACTGGTCAGCCGCTTGCTCACATGCAGCCAACACATCACTGGTCAGCCGCTTGCTCACATGCAGCCTACACATCACTGGTCCGCCGCCTGCTTACATGCAGCCAACACATCACTGGTCAGCCGCTTGCTCACATGCAGCCTACACATCACTGGCCAGCCGCTTGCTCACATGCAGCCTACACATCACTGGTCCGCCGCTTGCTCACATGCAGCCAACACATCACTGGTCAGCCGCTTGCTCACATGCAGCCTACACATCACTGGTCAGCCGCTTGCTCACATGCAGCCAACACATCACTGGTCAGCGGGCATCGGTAAATGCCACCCATTTCGCAACTCCCTCAAGTGTTTCTCTGACATCGAAAATTTACCTTCTTCACGCCAAAAACATCAAAATCAATCGGCAACTAGTGAATCACTGCCACGCCTGACCCGCGAAGCACATTTCAGGCCTTTCAGACGGAGGTGCTGAAAATTAGTTGCGGTGAACGCTGTTGCGCTCCATGTGGTGCCCTCCGGCATGCCGTGTTCAAGTGCGAACACCAGGGCAGGACGCTGCACCACTGGTGCGAGACGCTGCGCACGGCTTAACATACCGACGTTGGAGAGGTAGAGTAGCATGAGCGGGATCCCCATCACCGCGTAGGCGATGGTGAGCAGCTTCCCGGCGTCTGTCTTAGGAGAGCACGTGCCATAACCTGCAAACGGAAGGAATTGACAGCTATCTGGCGAGACACAGGCACGTGGTTAGCGCCGCCCACCTGTCACCAGGTCTACAGCCCATTGCAAGCCACGAACAGCATGGAGGTGCAGTGGTGGCGCGTTCTGTCACTGGTGTTTTGGAACTGATATGCGACTGTAGGAGAGTGGACGAGGAAAGTGGAGGGAGAAGAAAACGAACAAGGGGAGGGGAAGAAAAAGGCAGGAAGAATCTCGTCTGTGATGGCATAGCAGCCTCTGCCGCACTGCATTCACTTAGCAGTCAAGCTTGAGGTCGTAGTTTCGCCGGAACTATATCGATTACCGAAAAGATCCATGTGCTGCGCCACAGCCCCCGCCACGCGCAGTGAACAGCTCTTCATATCCGTCTTCACACACCTGATGTGTTAATGGGAGACCAGGGTCTCTGAAATGACCTGGAAATGCGCATGAAAAACAGACAGGCCTTGTTGATATCGGGAGCCTAATACACTTCTTTATAAACCATGAATTTTTTTCTTAATGATTTTGTTACCATCTAGTGTGACACGAGGCACTTGTTTGTGCTATTTTCCGCTTCTGGGTTTCAGATCCATCTCAATTTTGAGCGGATCTGGGCTCATAACCTAGCATCATTTTGGCAAAGCCCTTGTGCTTGTAAAACAAAAACGGTGGACAATTTTGTGTTAGCTTATTAGTAGGACCATGCTTGAGCTCTTGAAGGCGTTGACATGTCATTATTTTCTGGTTTTTACTACAACTACGATGCTGAACCCGGTGCTGCCTGTAAGGATTATCAATCCCCCATTTAGTGAGTAATTTGTGGGGTACGCCAGGCTGGTTTGCTAAATTTTCAGTATCTCATGAGTAGTAGATTAAACACATCTTCGAAAAATCCAATTCGACGTCAAGTGAGGCAATTTATTTGTGACGTGATCAGTTAACACACGCTCGGGCGGGGTGGGGTTCAAATTGACTCCCAAAGGTTCTTCCAAAATGGTTTTCGAACGGCGCGGTGTAGCCGCGCCAAATTTTGTGTAGCTATAGACAATTGAGTGGCGGATCGTTTGGCATTAACAATTTATATGTACCGTGTACGTTCGCTGACCTATGGCAGGTCAAAGTCAAGCCATGGCTTCAGCGAAGGTAATTTCTAGGGAATCCTTCAATCTGATCCAACAACGGAGTGCTAGACGAAGCCATACATCTCTGAGATGCTTTCTTAGGCAATAGTGCAGTTGAATGAACAAATTACATTGACCTTAGGTCAGGCATGAAGGTCACACCAAGGTCAAAACCAACCTGTTTTGTTACTCTAGGGCTTGCTGTATAGGATAGTTTCTGGTGCTCATTTCGAGTTTATTGATGGCAGGAACCGCATTATACATCTTCCATGACTTCTTAGAGATCAGAATAGGTCGTTGACCTAAAATGACCCAGGTCCACATTTTGTTTTAGGAACATACTGCCTAGTGTAATCTTTGTCGCTTAGCCAAATGCAAAACTCAAAGCAATCTTGTATGATTTTGGTCACCATGACCTTCAAAAGGTCAAAAATGTTTACTGACCTTGAATGAGAATGTGACCTTTTGCTTGGCAACGGTTATCTAGGTTCTGTGGGCACTTTGAAGACTAGCCTGGAGCTTGACCTTATTTGACCTTTTTTGACCCGATGGTGATAACCTAGGAACCTGAAACCTTGACCTAAGTGAGTTCACGTACGGGTTAACACATCCTATAAATTTGGTGTTCCTCAATTTCCTAGTTCCCAAGATCTCAGCGGGGTCAAATTGACCCCCCACCCGAGCGAAGGGTATCTAGCCGGCCATCCGGGCGCGTGTTAAATGAAGGGATTCAACAATACTTTGCTCACAAAGTAAACCACTTGCTGGTCAACAATTTGCTATTTGCTATTGTTGCTATTATCAACACGTACATTATGAAGGCGCCAATGGTCACATTCTGGGCTGCATATATGTATACTCGATCTTCAAGGGCTGGTAATATTTGAATTTTTCTACTGTTTTTTGGGGGACTACTTCGCTGTCTCGGGAGCACCATGCAGCATGCTCTGTCAGCATACGCATGTATCTCTGTGGTCTCCAGATTATTTTGGAAGCCTCGATCTTATCCAAGTGCACTTGACGTGGTGTGCATGTGCATGCACATATACCTACGGTTCGGCCGACTGTCGATTTCGAGAATGAATGGCGAATAAACTTCTTGATATCCCGGCTGCTTGAGGGGGTGATGTCTGCCTTAGTAATTGTTATACTGGTGTGCAAACTTTGCCTCAGTTCTTCAGGAGTCTTCAGTTCTTCTCTGTTTATTGGTGGACGTTCTTCATTCTTCCTCGCCACTGAAAAGCTCCCAACTGAACATGCGAGTTTCTGGAACCGAACGTCCTTAAAAGATACTAAATTGGCACCGAAAGCATTCGAACAGTGCCCTGACTGGCAATAAGGACTGTAGTACCAGATAACCCCAACTCAAATTGAACCCCAACCCGAGCAAAGTGCATCTAGCCGGTCACCCGGTGGCGTGTTTAGGCTCGCACCGCATTTTTCTCTTTACTTACGGTATTTTACTGTTTCTTTTTTTGACTGTTCTAATGTCAAGCACGACTGATATGATTTTCTGCCTCGCACAAGCAGTATGGTATATACTGCATCAATTATGATACTTGTATTGCATGGTTGTTTTGGGTCCAGTTGACAGATTGACCCAACGCATACAATTTATTCCCGGCGCAGACTAACTTCTCACATATTTACTGACTGCTTAATTTTTCTGGTTATTTCTAGGTTTGTATTATTGCATATTCGTTAATGTCTTATGCAGCAGAAATATACCATGGTGAAACATAGGCGTAACGAGTCTTGGCGAGTCTTAGAGAAGAGTTCGAGCGATAGCGAGCGAGAGAGCTTTAGAGCGAGAGAAGAGTTCACTTAAAAAGTGAACTCTTCCTGTGGCGGGGAAGATTTTCAAATTGTCACATGAAGTGGATACACCCTGTTAGTATCACGCATTTGATGCACGACTTTACTGAACAGAGGTGCTCACTAATTGAGAACTTCATGAAAATAGATCGTTAAACTGTATTTGGCAAAGTTTGCTTATAATGTCGTTTAATCAGAATCTACTGATATTTTGAAGGTCACCGGGGATTCTCACCAACATACGCGAAAACCAGGGACTGGAAAACCCTTCTTGCCTATATCAGTATTGAGTCTTGAATATATAATTATCATTGATGTAGTGAGTGTGAATACTAGGACACAATGCAGTGATCTGATATATGAATTTCCGATTTTATTTACGTCAGAGGGAAAGTATCACCTTTCGTTAAGCATGACGTTTAAAACATCCAGGCACCTTGCAGGCTATGAGTACATATTGTCTGCTTGATAAGGCAAACGATCCCCCTGTGCCTTGCAAATCAACACACCTGAATTTCAGGCTAGAACTGCTTTAATTCTCGCAATCGAAACAACTATTGCGTGCATGAAAAGCTTTCCATCAGCGATTTGGGCCTGCAGCGCAGAACTTGTAGCACGAAATCCAAACTGATCGAGGAAGTTTTAATTGAAAAGAAGTACGTGACCACGGGGTTACCTTTTTCGCTTAGAGTTCAGCTTCACTTATTTTCCCCGCGGCAATCACACGAATCAAGCTGAAACGAGCCAAGCGAATCAGTTGTATCTGAAAGCTAAACTCCGCTGAAATAATCAAAACCTGACTTTTCAAACGTAGTCTGATATTCCAAACACAATCTCAGTGCTCCAGGATACGCAAACAGAACGCTTAGGACCGAATTGGATTTGGAGCGGGGACACGATGAGGAGCGCGTGTTGATCCAATACGAGTGCCCCGGCTGCTGCAGATGACTTCGGAAAAGATGAACTGGGTGGCCCGAGGCTTATTTTACCCCTGCTGCCGGCACGGGCCAGATGCGTCCTACACTCGAGCTGGCCAGAACTCCTGTCAGTCGGCACTGGGGCCGCTGTCCCCTGCCGCTGCATGGCTGCCGATGCCGGAAGCCCGCCCTTATAACCTGAACAGAAAACCCATGCCGCAGTCTGACTGGCGGGGGGGGGGGGGGATGCAGGGCTGTTCCGCCTCAGGCGACCCATGGTCTGCTCCTCCCGGTGTAGCCTGCGGCGAGGGCACCTCAGCCAAGGCCTAACCCAGGAGGACGCTGATCAGGAGGACGCGTCCGTCCCAATCTGACCCCAGGAGGCTCCCGGTTCGGTCCGGCGACACGTGCTCTCCGCTGACTGCCAGGCGTTAATGGGCGGGGCCGGCCGGACTGATTTACGCTGACAGCCGCGTGCCCCGCTGAATGGAAGCCGGCCGTGCCTCAGAGGGCCCAGCCGGCAGCCGGAGCCGTCCCACGCAGTGGAGCCGCACCGATCTATGGTCGGCCCGCCAGCCCGCCGCTGGCGCCTCCACAATAAACGGCGGAGTGACCGGCGGCCCGAACAGCATGGCAAGCGCGGAACTTTTCAGCTTAGCCTGGCTGCAGTTTAGACGTGGCGTGTGCAGCAATCCGCTATTGAGTTCGATGTGATTTACGTTCGTCTGTTCGGACCTATTCGTCGGTCGTTTGCCTCATTGCTTGTGGACGGGAAAATAATTATATTTAATGGCGTGCGAAGCTTTTCAAAGCATGCGTCGTCAACACATATTATTTAATGATCGAATGAAGCTGCACGGCGTGCTCGCACCTATGATGTCGCTAAGCTCATTCATGTAAATGGGGGCTGAGATCCACGGAATAGAATGAGCTCTGTATTTGCTTGGGAAAAGAGCAACGACATCTTGGCTTTAGTTTTTTATATTACCGACCCACAGCAACTCTCATAACAGTTCGCCACTGACGTAAATGCATATAAAAGGCGTGAAATATACTTGCTCAGTGGAAAGAAGAAACGCAACCTAAATGCTTTTATATTACCTTTGACCCCAGACAATTTTTCCATATTGCGACTGATTTTTC